CGCATGCGTCCGCTGCGCCGCGCCAGGCGCAAGGGTGGTTCCCCCGCATTTCGCCAACCCCCACTGTGCCATCGCCAGTTGATTGGCGAAATTTGGATGCGACAGCGGTCCTCATCGCCAGCCCATCGCCAACGCTGCCACGAGGGCCAGAAACACTGGGCGGCGGGCCTCCAGCGTGCGGGTGCGCCCCGCTGCTGCCTGGCACCCTACTCTGCACTGCTGCGAGATGCAAGCCAGCACCAATGCGGCGGCTGCAAGTGCCCCAGGCGGGAGTGCCGACAGGTAGTGCCCCGCGCAGTTCGGCCTGCGCAGTTCCATGCTGTCATCTGGCCCTCACCTGCGCCTGCATTGCACAACCAAGAGGATCCCCCACAGAAGAGACGCAAGGAACGGACGCATGGGCAGCATGGCAGCCCAGCGTTGCTGCAGCGACCCAGAAATGGATTGGATGTCCGTTCAGATGCCTCGGGGCGGCTATCACCCACTCCCCACTGAAAAAATTGCCGTGTTTCTCCTTATACCCCCTGCCACGCGAGACTGATGTGCCTGTCCCTTTCCAGACTTGTTGCCTTTCGGTCAAATGATTCATTTCAGTTTGATGCGATCTGAAGAGGGCCATGCCGCTGCCGCCTGGACACCCCGGCAGCCCAGCCATGCTTTCGGTCCCAGGTTCCCGCCTTGGCGCCAGCGCCATTCACGCCGACGGCGCCCTGGCACACAGCGGGGCGCGGAGCGGAGCCCGGCGGGAGCCTTGCTGGCTGCAAACTGTCTGCATCAGGGGTGCTCGCTCCATTCTGGAGCGGCCGCTGCGCTGAGAAAGCAGCATCCCGCCCACGTGTGGTCTCGGAGTCGTCTGACTGCTCTGTTCATGCAAATCTTTATTCTCGATCCATCTTCCCAACACCCACCGGCCCGTCCCTGCATTGTTCACTGGCAACCAGCCACCAGGCGACTGGGGGAGAGCCGGCCCGCAACGAAACATGGTCGCCTCGCACACAGCCAGCCGCCCGGCCCCTGCTTTATGCACACACGGTGCCGGGCGCCGGACCAGCCAGTGCAGGGCGCGCCAGGTGCGTGTGGGCCGACTCCGTCCTGGTCAGGCAGTTGCAGATGGGGGGCGTTGGCTGGGGTCCTGGCGCTCTCCTGAACGCCGCCGCCTATTCCTCCTGTCGCCCCTGATACCGCAGGCATCAACGGTATGCGTGCTGGCGTCGCCGATGCCGCTTCCTGTCCGCCGCACCACCGTCACGCCCCGCCCCGCCACCACTCTGGTGCCCGCCTCTGAGCAGTTTGACCTCCCACTCACCACGCCCCAGCGCCTGCACCTGATGCCGCATGGCCCCTGGGATGCGGCAGACGGCGGCGTGTGCGCACCGCTGGGCTTTGCCGCCCAAGGTGTGGCGCCGCGCAAGGCGGCGGCGGGAACCCTCGACCAGCCTGCGCAATGCCTGCACACCTCGAATCCTCCCCCTCTGTCCTTGACTCCTTTCCAATGCTCTGCCCCGACCCATGCCTGCAGGCCTGTATGCCGGCCTGCGCCAGGACAGCCGCCGCGCAGATGTGGCGCTGCTGGCCTCCGACCGCCCCTCCGCCGCCGCCGGCTGCATGGGCGACACCGCCGCCGCCGTGCTCATGGTGGTGGCAGAGGCAGGCAAGCAGGGGGCCCCGGCTGGTGCTTGCGGGGATGTCACCAGCCAGCCAGCCTGCCGGCCAGCCTGCCTGCCAGCCCAGGCAGGCACGCACCTCCTCTCCTCCATCCTGCGGTACGCCGGTCCGCCCCTGCTGGCTGCAGGCGGCGCCGAGGCGATGCGTGCCTGCCGTGACGAGGTGGGCGCTGCGCTGGGCGTGGACCCGGCTCTGGTGGAGGTGCAGGCCTGCGGCGGCGGCGGCGGCGGCGGTGGCAGTACAAGCGGCCTGGACCGCGTGCTGGCGGCGGTGCCGCTGCTGGCGGAGCGGCTGGATGGCGGGGCGGAGGCCTCGCACCACGCGGCGTGCGCGGCGTGCGGGGAGGGGTCTTGGGACACAGCCACTAAGGAGGCTGCGCTGGAGGTGGGTGGCGGGCGGTACAGGGGGTGCAGTACAGGGGGTGCAGTACAGGCGGTGCAGTACAGGCGGGGCAGCACAGGACGTGCACCTTGTATGCGGAGGAGTGCCGCCACGCCGGGCCTGGCCGGGCTGCAGGGCGCGCGAGCGGTGTTGGCGGCGGGAGCGCGGCGCTCACCTTCGCGGCGCCTCTTGCCCGCTGCCGGCGCCGCGCAGGTGCCGCTGGGGCGCGGCGGCAGCGCGGTGCGCCTGGGGGGCATGGCCCACGCCTCGCCTGGGGGCATCCAGGTGCGGTGGGTGCACACCTGGGCTGGTGGGGCGGACGGGGTTATGGTAGCACCGATGGTGTGCAGGGTGGTGGGCTCCCGCCGCTTCCCCTGCCAGTCAGCCAGCGCTGCGCATCATGCAGCCGACGACCTTGCCCTTCCTCGCCTGCCGCTGCTGTGTCGCCGCTGCCTCCCCGCATGTCCCGCAGGGCACGGTGACCTGCGACGCGCAGGTGGACCCCGCCACCTGGCGCGCCATGTTTGACCGCGCGGCGGCCGCCACCTTTGGCCAGGTGGCGCTGGCGGCGGCCCCCGGCGCTGCCAGCCCTCATGGTGCGCCGCTCCGCCTGGCCCGCCCCCGCTCCTGCCTCTGTGCTTGCGCATGGGCACTGAAGCTGTGCTTGCGCATTGGCACAGCTGTTTGCCTTCAGCTGCAGGGGCAGCCGGGGTTGCCGCTCTTGCGTCTGCTCGGCCGCTGCTGGGGCTGCTTGTTGGCCCTCCACTTTCTAGCAGCAACTGGCTGCACAGCTTTCCAGCCCCCACACTGCTATCCATGGCTGCTGCCCCTCGCGCAGGCGGCCTGGTGGGGCTGGCGAGCGGCGCCGCCCACAACACGCCGCTCATCCGCGACGGCGGCAGCCCGGCGGGGCAGAGGCTGGAGGGCGCCCTGACCGCGCTCATGGAGGGGCTGGCCAAGGCGGGTGAGCGTGGTTGGGCCGGCACCCAGGGCTCCGCTGCTGGGGTGTGCCAGCCGCCGGCGCGGCGCGGGACGAGGGCGAAGGAGGGCGGGCCGGCAGCGGCTCTGTGTCTCCCTCGCTGGCCTCCGCTGCTCCTGGCACACCCTGCCGCTACGTGCACCTTGACTTGAATCATCAGGTCCTGCTGGGGTCCCTGCTGACTGATGCCGTCCTGCCGGCCGGCTCCCCTGCCGACCCCGCAGTGGCCAGCGACGCGCGCGGCACCCGCTGCCTGATCGAGGTGGAGGTGTCTGGCGCCGACAGCGAGGCAGCGGCCCGGCGCGCGGCGCTGGCGGTGGCCTCCAGCGGCGGCATGCGCGCCGCGGTGGGGCGCTGCAGCCCCGAGGTGTCGCAGCCCATCGTCGCAGCCCTGGGGTGCGGCCGGCCGGCGCCGCTGCTGCCGCCGCTGCCGCTGCCGCTGCTGCTGCTGGCGGTGGTGGGTTGCTGGCTGCGTGATCGCCTGATCGCAGGACAGGCAGGGCCCTGCTTCCACCTGGCCTGCCCCGCTGCCATCTGCTGCTTTGCCCCTGGCCTTGCCCCACTCCACGTCTGCTCCCTCGCTGCAGCGCTTCCGGCGTGCTGCTCGACCCAGCCGGGCTGCGCATCTGCCTGGGCGGCATGCCGCTGCTGCACCACGGCAAGCCCACCCCCAGCCTGCCCAGCGCCGCTGGGTACTGTGCTGAGTACCTGCACCTGGCAGCCGGCAGGCAAAGGTGGGCTGCCTGACTGGTGCGGGGTGGCTGGGCCGCGCATCTCTGCCCTCCGGCAACACCCTCTGCTGCCAAGCCTGGGCCGCCGCCACGTGCCAAGCTGGCTGGCTGGTGGCCCTGCCTTCCCCCCCTCCGCTGCAGCCAAGTGCGGATTGATGTGAAGCTGGGCAGGGGAGTGCACACCGCGCGCGCCTGGGCCCCCGACCGCTCCTGACCTCCTCGCTCGATGTCGCCGCTGCGCCGCGTGATCCCCACAGTTTCTTCCCGCATGCTGCAATGCACAACACATCGATCCATGGAATTGCGATACATGCCCATGCCTTTTGAACTTCCACCTGGACCCTCTCCGGATGTGTGCGCCCGCTTCCACCTAGTAGTTCTTGTATGTGTACAGTGAGTGATCCTGCTTTCATTCAACGTTCTTGTTGCCTGACGGCACTGCGCCAGCTTGTAACCGAAAAAGTGGACGTTGCACTTTGCGGCAGGGCATGATCAGGCGCCCGCTGGCGGCTGCAGCCGGTGCCGCCGGCACGGCCAATGCTCAGGGCATGGGGTTGGCCGCGATGAAGGTCAGCAGCCCATCCAGCTTGGGCGCCTGGCTGCGCGGCTGGGTGGGGTACTCCTTGGCCCCCCACCGCCCCCACGAGCTCCACCTGTCGCAGTGCACAAAGTGCACGAACCGTTGGCGGGTGCGGCGGCGCCAGGCGGCTAGGTACTGCAGGTACAGCCCCTTCATGAGAGGGTGCCGGTTCACGCCGTCCAGCAGTGCCTCCAGCCGGGCGTCGCCGTGCAGCGCCCCTGCCACGAGCAGGTGCTGCCCGCCCTCGTAGGCGGCCAGCGGGATGCCCAGCTGGCGCAGCACGGCCGCCTGCGCCGCCACCGCGGCGTCGACGTCGGGCAGCGCGCCGTACGGCAGCCCCGACCGCTCCTCGGCAGACGCGTTGCCGGCCAGCCAGCGCAGCACGCCGTGCAGGCCCAGCCGCTGCAGCGCCGCCGCCTCGCCTGGCTGAGTGAAGGTGGCCCCAAAGTAGGGCGCGACGGCAAAGAGGTCAGTCAGGTTCCGGGCCTGCTCAAACCCCAGGATCTGCTCCGTAAAGTAGGGCACCACTGCCTGTGTGGCCATCACGCACCGCAGCCGGGACCGGCCGCCCATGGCCGCCGCCGCCAGCAGGAAGACTTGCTGGCTGCGGCGCGAGTAGAAGCGCATGAGGCCTGTGTAGCGGTCTGTGGGGTGCAGGCGCAGCGCGTCCGCCTGCGCCAGCGCCCACCGCGTCTGCTCAAACATGCCTGCAGCGGGCGCGGCAGGCAAGGCCTGGTTGGCGCGTGTGCAGGGAGGTGCGGCGGGCGAGGGTGTGAGTGAGTGTGGTGGCTTGGCGGGCAGCAAGGCAGCCGCGCATGCCGGCAGCTCCCTCCTCCCTCGCCCGCTCGTGGGCTGTTACCGGGCCAAGAGACCTCTGCCCGCCCCAACACGCCGTCCGGGCGAGTCGCCCCCGGCCTGCCCGGCACACCGGCGCGCCGCCCAGGCACCCACCATTCCACACTTCGTTGCTATATTCAAGGTGCGCCAGGCGGCCCGGCGCCAGCTGCTCCTTCACCAGCTGCAGTGGCAGCGGGAGCGCAGGATGGATTGGGGTCGGGGGGCAGCCAGCTGAGTGGCGGGCTGGCCGGTGGAGGGCAGGGAGGCAGTGGCAGCCACCGGCAGCGCACTTACACTTACACACACACTTGCACACACACACTTGCACACACACACACACACACACACACCACCACCACACTATTACACACCAAACCTCCCCCAGGCACCTGGGCGAAGGCGGTGACGTAGGCGTCGTCTGCGCGGTGCGGGATGCACAGCCAGGGGTCTGCGCCCAGCACGTTTGCCAGCGCCAGCAGCACCTCTAGCGGCACCCCCCGCCGCTCGTCCGTCCAGAACTGGTGCGAGGGCAGCGCCCGCTCGCCCCAGGACTGGGTGGGGTTGTTGTTGGTGCTCTGCCAGTCCATGAAGCGCAGCAGGCTGCGGGTACAGGCAGCATGGCACAGGGGAGTTGGTTGCCAGCGGGTGGTGAGCAGCGGTGGCGAGCGGTAGGCGGGCGGCAAGCAGGCGCGGCCGGCGGGGTGGCGCCACAGCGCCGTCCCACTCCCAACACCGTCCAACGCATGCGCCGCTGCTGCTCTGCTGCTTGTGCTGAAAGCATGCACCCACCAGCGGTGCCAGTGCCGAAGCTGCTGCTGCCCCTGCTGGCCGCCGGTTGCAAGCCCGCACTGCCTGTACTGCCCGGTTGCCCACCTGTACCGCTTGATGTCCGCCAGAAACTCCGGGTTGAACAGAATCGAGGCATGGTGGGCGGCAAAGGAGCGGTATGCGCCTGGCGGGCAGTCGCGCGCGCCCGCCACCGCCCGCAGCGGGTTGCCGGTGCAGATGCCGCCGCCGGGCGGCAGCAGGCGCAGGTTGCGCAGCGGGTCGGCGGCTCTTGTGGACACCAGGTTGATGATCACTATCAGGTTTGTGTCGGGGCCCCTGATGGGCCTCAGCTGGAGCAAGGCCGTGCGGCGGGTCGCGTTGAACGCCTGCGCGGGGCAGGCGGGTGTGGGGAGGCAGACAGGGAGGTGGGTGGTGGTGGCAGGGAGTTGAGTGCCGGGGCTGGCGCCCAGAATAAAGAGGTTTGCACAGCAAAGACAAACAGCCCCAGCCTCAGCGCCCACCTGGACATCCACATTCCCAAAGTCCAGCTGCCCGGTGCCCTCCCAGCGCAGCAGGAACTTCTTCCCAGCCAGCCCCGGGTCAGCCCCCGCAAACACGACGGTGCGTGCCACCTGGCAGCAGGCAGGCAGCGCACGCGGCGACGGCGGGTGAGGCTGCAGTCCCGCGCCAGGCACCACGACGGCGCTTGCTCCTCCCCTGCTGCTGGTGCTGCTCCAGGCGGGGCTGCATGCCCGCTCACCTGCCCCGCCAGCAGGCTGCGCACGTTGCCGTGGGCATCCAAGTCGAGCGGCCGCTGGTCGTCCCACGCCCCGGCGCTGCCCGACAGCCATCTCCCCGCCATTTTCATGTGATCCACAAAGGGATACTGGGCTGTCCAGTACGTCACCCCAGCCAGGTTGGTCCCCAGGGGGGACCTGCGATTGGCGCCATTCACCCAGCCGGCCTGCAGGAAAAAAGGGGGGCAGGGCGCCGAGGGTGGGCAGTGGCAGTGCCAGTGGCATGAGCTGTAGCAGACAAAGCAGCTCTGCCATCCAGCCAGGAGGACGGATATGTGCCCCAGGGAGGCTTGCCTTGAGGGAGGGGTGCACGATAGGCGCCGCCGCCGCTGGGGAACGGCTGGCGAGCAGGAGGCCCGCCGCCGCCAGAACCAGGCGGGCGAGGGCTGCCCGCAGCCGCATGTGCCCGCTACCGTCACGGTCGCTACTGCCTTCTCAACAGCGCTTTAATCATTTAAGAACTTGGGGCCTGGCTTTGGGAAGACACATGGCGGAGGGAACGGGCGTGCATTGGACGGACTGCACGTAACAGAACAAATCACGACATGAGAAGAGGCCAGAGCGCCATTGAAGGGGCTACGCTGGGCGAGTGCCGTGCCGGCTTCCATGTAAGGCACGGCAGGCGCAGCGGGGCGGCGTAAGGCTGGGGCAATGTGGGTTAGCAGGCTCATCGGGTCCTTGCTGTGGCCACCCAGCACAGGAGTTACCAAAGAGGCATCAACATGCCAGCATGCGCACCCAGTGGCGGCACCGGATGCCGTTTCACAAGGCAGCTAGTCCAGGCGCCAGCCGCCACCAGTGGGACGGAGGCTGGCCATCCAGGCTGGGCCAGAGATGGTTGTTGATGATTTATGGGTCAAGCAGGCAGGTCGAACTCCCCCTTACCATCGGCCTCCGTTGGAGTTGGCACGCCAGCGATGGGCGCAGGCGGCGCCTGCAGTACGGCCGCCCAAGCCACTGTACCTCCTGCCGTCATGCATGGCGCCGCAAAATGAGAGATCGTTTCGCCAAAACGCCACAGGCAACTGCAATCCCCGCTGCCCTTGCTTTGTTGGCTCAGAATGCAGGCTCAAGCGCTGCATGGCCCCGCGCAGCCGTGCCGCTCGCGCCCTTGCGCCCTGGGCGGCAGGGCGAAGTCTAGTAAACCAGCGCAGCAGTTCGCAAGCAGCGGCTTGGGCGGTGCCAGGCGAGGTGAGGCGCCGCCGCCGCCGCCGCCATCCGGGAGCATAGGTCAACAGCCGTGACACCCTCGGGCCGCAGGCCGTCAGCATCCTGCCTTCTTTGACATCATGTGTCTGACCGCCTGCCCTCTCCATGACTGCCACAGGCACAGAGCAGCAGCCGCCGCGGGCGCAACACTCTGACTCCCAGCAGCAGGCGGCGGCGGCCGCGGGGGGCCGTCCGCCGCGCCCCAGCTTCTCCCCGCGCCGCTTCCAGAGCAGCTGGGACGCCAAGGAGGCGGGGGGAGGGCGCAGCGCCGACTCGGATTACTTGTCGGAGCTGGGTGCTGCGCAGCAGTACAACATCAACGTTGACCATGGGCAGACCGCGGGCATGATTGATTCCATCTTCACCGGAAACGTGCTGGGACACAAATCGGACATTGCAGGTGTGTGGCAGGCCCCGTGGGTGCAGCGCACTCTGCAGAGGCCAGCGGGCGCGCGGCTCGCTGCGAGTGCCTTGGCGTTTGGCGCCGTCGGCAGCACACGTGGCCGGCCGCGCCAGCCCCCCACTTCCCTGCTCACTGCCTGCGCCGATGTGAGCCCTAGCCTCTCGGCTCAGTGCCCGCCCTCCTCCCATCCCTCTTCTTCCTGGACGCCCTGCCGCAGACGGCTCCCTGCGCACATATGAGTTCCGCACCTACAATAACATCGTAGGGGACTACTACATCGCGCCGCGGTGAGCGGTACTGGGAAGCTGCCCGGCAGCTGGCGGCGCGGCCAGGCAGGGAGGAGAGCTGCCTGGCAGGGTGTCCTGGGTGGCCGGGTGGGGGGGCTGGGGAGCAGGGCGCCGCGCGCTGCCGGTACGCCGACGAGCCACACCCTCATGCACATGCAACCCGCAACACGCGCACCGCCTGCACCACCCCACCTGCCCCGCAGCTTCCTGGAGAAGATTGCGCTGCACATCGCCAAGAACTTTCTTCTCGAGTTTGGCGCCCTTGACTCAGCAACCCGCGTGCCGCTCATCCTTGGCATCTGGGGGGGCAAGGGCCAGGGCAAGACTTTCCAGACTGAGCTGTGCTTCAAGAAGCTGGGGTGCGGCTGCTGGGCTGTGCGTGTGGGGGCCCTCGCTGTCCTGCTGCCTCTTTGTGGTGCTGCCTGCTTGTGGTGTGGTGGGGAGCGGCTGTGGCGCCTGGCTTGGGCCTCCTGTGTGTGGGCGAGCTTGCTGCTGGGGTGGGGCTGCCGCCACGGGGCGCCTGGGAGCCGCGCCAGGGCAGCACAGCTTCGCAGCAAGGGGCTCGCGCGGGGGCAGGGGAGGCGGAACCGGGCCGCTCAAGGTTCCGCTGACAACATGTATGCCTGGCCAGCTGGCAGCTTGCCCGCGCAGCCTGCACACACACACACCGCACTCACACCCTGCACACACCCCGCCCACACGCCTGCGCTCTGCACCGCTGCCCGCAGCGTGGAGCCCATCATCATGTCGGCTGGGGAGCTGGAGAATGAGTGGGCAGGCGTGCCCGGCAAGCTGATCCGGGAGCGGTACAGGTGAGGAGGGCGGTACATGAGGCGTGTGGGGGTACAGGTGTCAGGGCAGGACAGGGAATGTGGGCCTCTCTGGGTGCCTGCAGCCTTGCCCGGCAGCGTCAGAGGCGGCCTTTTTTCGCAGAGGGGCCAAAGCCGGCCCTCGCCCTGCGCTGCCCCACACACCGCCCGCCTACCTGCCCTGCCACCTTTCCGCCTCTGTCCCCCTCCCCGGCGCCTCGCCCCGTGGCAGGCGCGCGGCGGAGGTGTCCAAGGTTCACGGCAAGCTGAGCTGCCTGATGATTAATGACTTGGACGCCGGCATCGGACACTTCGAGAATACGCAGGTGGGCGAAGGTTGGCGGCAGGGTGGCGGCAGGTGGGCCGCAGGTTGGCAGGAGGTTGGCGGGCCTGGCCGCCGGGCTTGCAGACCCGGAAGCGTGGCAAGGCCAGGCAGGCGTTGGCCTGTAGCGCTGGATGACGCGTCGCGGCTCCCTTCGGGCCCTTCCCTCCCCGACCCACTCACCGCCGCGACCACCTCGCCCCACACCTCCCCCCACCACCACCCACACCCACCACCAACTCCCACCACCGCCGCACTCTGCAGATCACGGTGAACAACCAGATGGTGGTGGGCACGCTGATGAACATCTGCGACAACCCCACCCGCATCTCCATCGGCCAGGGGTGGATGGAGAACGACGTCACGCGCCGCATACCCATCATCGTCACGGGTGGGTGCCACGGCTGGGGCTGGGGCCGGGCGCGCGTGGCCCACTGCGCCGGGCGGTGGGCTTGCCTTCCCATTCCGCCACACGAGCGGCGGGCTTGGGACCCTAGGGTAGATGGATAGAGCGGGACTATGCGTGTTCCTGCGGTGGTTTGCCCACGCCACTCGGTCACCACCATACACTCTGCTGCCCCCCCCACCACCACACACACTCCGCCGCCCCCAGGCAACGACTTCTCCACCATCTTTGCGCCGCTGGTGCGCGACGGGCGCATGGACAAGTTCTACTGGCAGCCCACGGAGGAGGACCTGGTGGGCATACTGCACCAGGTGGGGCGAGCCCTGGCGTCGTTTGCTGAGCTCATGGGCCAGGGATGGGTGGTGGATCATCTACCAAATGACTTAGCATGCGGACTGCTGCTGCTGCTGCTGCTGCGGTACTGCCACTGCGGTACTGCATTCCTTGGGGCCGTTTGTGGGCCATGTGCAGTGCTTGCTTGCCCTGGGGCCCAGCACCGGCTCAGCCAGGGCGGCGCTTCCTGCCTGTGCCGACCGCCTGGTGTCCCGCATGTACCGCAGATGTACAAGGATGACGGCCTGAGCGAGAGCGACATGGCGGCGCTGCTGCGTGCCTTCCCCGGACAGACCCTCGACTTCTTCGGAGCGCTGCGGTGAGGCGGGGGGCATGCGTGGCGGGCTGGTACCTCTCCCCTGTGGATGGCGCATGGGACAGCCCCGGAGGGCAGCCCCAGGAGGGCTGCCCATGTGCGGCAGCATTGTTTCGCCTCCTCAACCTCGTTTCTCAACACCCGTTGTCGCCCTGCAGCTCCTCCACCTATGACGGCCAGATCCGGCAGTGGATCAAGCAGGACGTGATCCACGGAGAGATTGCGGGTGGGTGGGGGTGAGCTGCTTGGTGGCAGCTCGGCACCGCGGCAGCCTCAGCCCGGGCGCAGCCTCGCCCGCCATCCCACGCCCGTCCCGCCGCGCTGCCTGACGCAGCCCTGCAGCTGCCCTGCCCTACCCTGCCTCGCTTCCTTCCTGCGCTGGCTCACCGTCTCACCAGCCCCCCTTCCTCCGCCTTCCCCCACCTGCCCCAGAGGACAACCAGAACATGCGGGAGCTGGGGCGGCGGCTGCTCCGGCAGGAGGACCTGCCCCAGTTTGAGCCCGTGGACCTCACGCTGCTCATGCTGATGGAGGAGGGTGGGTGTGCCTGCTGGGTGCTTCCGACTCTGCATGCGTGCAGTACAGCTGTCGGTGCCGCTTCATGCGGCTGCCGAGCCGCTGCCTGCTGCCTGGCGAGCTGCGTGCCGTCCTTGTGCTCTCACTGCCTTCTCGCCGCGCACCTAAGGCCCTTCTGGCCGCTGCGTGCTGCAGGCCGCCGCTTGCAGGCGGAGCAGGACATGGTGAACAGCATGCGGCTGTCGGATGAGTATCTGAAGAAGCAGCGCAAGGTGGGGCGCAGCATGATCGGGCTGAGCGGGTGACCAGGCAGGAGGCCGGGCACAGGAGGCTCCCCGAGAGGAGGCATGCCTGGGCATGGCGCCACGCGGGCGCGCCGTGCCCCACCCCGTCCTCGCGTTCCCGCCGCCGCCACCGCCCGCCACACCAGCACTGCCATGGCCCTGTTGTTGGCCCCTGCCTTGCGTCGATGAGAGCTAGTGCTGAAGAACTGCGCCGCTGTATTGACCCCTGCCATTCACCCTGCCATTCTTTCCCAGCGATGCTGCATTTAAGGTTGCATTCAACATTTCATTTGCATTTCCTGGCAATTGTTCCACCCAAGCCACCCACCCATTTTGGGCAACTGTAACCATTGCATGCGAAGGCGAGGCCAGGATGGTGACGGACGGCTGCCTGCATGGCAGCGGCCCGGCGGGCATGCATAGCGGGGCAGAACACAGGTGGCACCATCCGGGGGTTCAGGTGGGTGCTGACGCTGCCGCCACTGGCCTGGCGGGTGCTGAGGTTGGATATTGCTGCTGCTTTCGATGCTGAGATGATTGCACATGCGGGGGGCCTGTTCTGTTCACAGCAGGGCCATCTGCTGGCTGAGGTTGCTTCGGAGCCGGTCGGCCAAACCCAGCAGGCCTAGGCGTGGCGAGGTTGCGGTGGCTGCCTGGCACGTGGCTTGCAGCTCTCCAAACATGTGCTCAAACTGCTGCCGCACCTGGCCTGCAGGAGGAGGCGGAGGCGAGCCCATGAGCGGCAGCGGATGCAGTGGCGGCATGACGAGCCTGGATGGGCATGTCGGCCGGTGTGGACCTGCCTGCCACTGGCGGTAGCCTCACGCCGGCCTGCGCCAGCGCACCCACCTCGCACAAAGCCACCCATCCCCGGCGGCGGCTGCACCGCCGGCTGCATCCGCTGGTGCAGGATGACGAGCGACCGCTGCTGCTGTTGCCTCTGGTGCTCAAGCCGCAGCTGCCGCTGCCGCACCACCCCGCTGCTGCCTCCGCCGCCGCTATCTGCCGCGGCGGCTGTCTCCAGCTTGGCAGCCAGCTGGCGCGAGCACTCGGGGCCCAGGGCCGCCGCCAGCTGAGGCGGCAGCCCCGGCACGCCAGGCTGCAGGTCGCCGCCGCCGCCAATCGGGAGCACCGCATACACACCCTCGAAGCTCCTCAGGAACTTGTTGCCTTGCAGCAGGTGCAGCTGCACCTGCGCCAGCCACCCAACATGGTCGGCCGGCCAGGTTTTACAGGCAAGGGTAGGGAGCGCAGGGATGCTGTGCATGAGGCGCTTGGTCCGGTTGGACGCAAGAGGGCATGCTGGGCGCGGCCCCTCACACACCCGCCAGCTGGGCAGCCGCCGCACCTGCTTGGAGGTGTGGTTGCAGTCCAGCTGCACCCTCATGGCAGCTTCCAGCGGTACCTTCAGCACATTCACCCTGGCTACCTGCTCCAGCTCCAGTCGTGACACTAGGTGGCGGCCGTGCAGGCGGGGGCGCGAGCGGCGCACCTCTCGGGCCGACTGCGTGCGCGGGCGGCAGCGGGAGCGACAGAAAGGTGTTGGCAGCGCGAGGCAGGAGAGGCATAGGAGGCAGGTGTGGCTTGGGGTCACCAGTTAGGCTGATGCCGCTGGCGACGCTGCCGATGCAACGCAGCGGAAGGTGAAGGTGCCCGCGATGCCCTCTGATCCCGAGGGTCTGCCCTCTCACCTTCACGTCGCTGAACACGCCGCACTTGATCAGCTCAGCCAGCATCTGCCAGACCACATCGGGAGGGCCCTCCACCACGCCCGCCACCGTGACGGCGGCAAAGCAGCCAGAGCAGCCAGGCGCGGCGGTGGCCAGCAGGTGCCTCGGCATTGCCTTTGGGATCGATACAGGGAGCAAAAGGGAAGACCTCACTCCCCAGAGTAGAATAGACCTGATAACAGCGGCGGGGGTGCTAGCATACTCAGCCAGCCGCCGGGTTGGGCGCTGGCGCCCGGCGGCTGTCGAGCACTTGCTTTGCATGGGCGCCATTCGCTGAACAGCTGGAAACCTGATATGCATTGGACCATAAGTGCCGTGCACGCAATCTCCGACCCCTGCTGCGGTGATCAACCAGCAGCCGGGCATGGCTTGGTCTGCGGCGCCCACAGCGGGTTGCGCCTCGCCACGCTGGCGCCGCCGGTTGGAGGATTCAGAAGGGGCTGCAGGGGGGCGTCAGAGCGAAGTCCAGGAACGATCGAATATAATTGTGACGCTGAGGGATTCCCAAACGGGCAAGCGGGCGGAGCGGGGTAGTTTTGGCGGTGCCTGGTTTTTGAGGCGGGGCTTGCAGCCGGCGCGAGGCCATGGCGACCCAGCAGCGTCGCCAGAGCCGCGATTTCGCAACCATGTTCAGCTACGCCAGCGCCGAGCTGGAATTCTGCCAGCGCCTGCCCAAAGTGGAGCTCCACGCCCATCTGAATGGCTGCGTGCGCGATGGGACGCTCAAGTGAGTGTGGCAGGAGGGACTGGCGATGAGGGCGGGCTGCAGACACCCGTCTTCGGCCAGGGATGGGCGGGTGGCCGCCGGCGTCGGCGGTTCAGCAAGCAGCACCTGCAAGCTGAGGGCATGTGCAGGGGCTGCGAGACGGTGCAGACTATGACTCGGCCATCAGCCAGGCACGGCGCTGCGTGCGTAGCGCGACGGCTGGGGACCACAGCTGCGTCATCACCTGCTGCCATTCACCCGAGCCGCTCCTGCCCCTGCAGGGAGCTAGCAGGCCAGACGTTGCTGGGGGGGCAGCCCATGTGCCTGGACCAGCTGGTGACGCTGACAGAGCTGAGTAAGTGTGGCTGGCTGGGGACGGGATCGCGCGTGCAGCCGAGTGGCCGCTGTTGTGCGCCGCTTCCCCACCCCAGCTGAGGCAGCCCAGCCCGCAGCGCCATCACCTGCCCGGCCACCCACCCACCCGCCGCATCACCGCTGCCTTGGCCCGCCCCCTGCAGCCAGCCCCACGCTGGGCGAGTGCTTTGCGCTGTTCGAGGTGCTGCACCAGGTTACCACCACCCACGCCGCCATCCGGCGCATCGCTCGGGAGGCGCTCGAGGACTTTGCCGCCGACAACGTGTTGTACGCCGAGATCCGCACCACTCCCAAGGTGCGGGGGTGGCGGACGTGTGCTCGCGTGCACCGGGCTGTCGACAGGTCCTGGCAAACCTTGAAAGCAGTTGATGCCGCTGCGCCTGCGCTGCGCCGGGAGTGCCGCCCGTCCCTTCACCGGGCCTGGCCCCTCCCCCCCCACCCCACCACCTCCTCTTCCACCCCGATCCATCCTACACCCGCCTCCCCACCCTCATATACATTCCCACATCCCACTACGCTGTGCTAAGCAGGTGCGGCCGGAGGCGGGGGTCGCCCCCGAGTCCTATATGGATAGTGTGTTCCAGGGCATCGAGGACTACTATCTGGCCAGCAGGAAGCCGCGGGGCAAGGGTGGGTGCGGCGGGGCCACGGCGGCAGCAAGCCCCGTGGTCGCGGCGTGCGGGACCGGGCCCGGCTCTGCACACGGCGCACCCCGTATGCCCCCTGCCCTCGCATTATCCACTCTAGCTGCAAATAAATGCAGCACGCAATACCTTAAGTGTGCACAGAATACATTATGTGTGCCTGCTTTATGCGCCTTTGTGCCCACACACACCACACCACACCCCTCCTCCTTTCCTCCCCCGCAGACATCCACGTCCGCCTGCTGCTGTCCATCAACCGGCAGCGGGGCGTGGGCGAGGCGATGGAGACTGTGCGCCTGGCGGCGGCGCTGCGGGAGCGGGGCGTGGTGGGGGTGGACCTCACGGGCAACCCCACGCAGGGCGAGGTGGGGGTGGGGGTGGGGGAGGGGGGAGCTCCAAGGGCAAAGAGGGAGCGGCTGGATGCTGCTTGGCTGGCTGGCTGCGTGGCTGGCTACGTGGCTGCGTGGCTGGCTGGCTGTGTGGATGGTGAGGGGCGCTGGTGCCAGCCGGGCAGAGGCGGGGTTGCAGCTGCCCTCGCCCACCCGGGGCACCTGCCTCCGCCCCCTGCAGTGGCTGGAGCTGCGGCCGGCGCTGGACCTGGCGCGCAAGGAGGGGCTGAAGGTGTCGCTGGAGGCGGGAGAGGTGGGGCTGGGTGGCGGCGGGGCGTGCGGCGCTGCCTGGGGCCGGCCTGGGGCCGGCTGGCGGCCCGCCAGCTGCTGCCGCCAAGAGTCTCGCCGCATCCAACCCTGGCAGGCGCCGTCCCGCCGCTTTCAGCACGGCCATGCCTGTTGGTTGCCCCCAGCTCCCAGCGCCCGCACCTCGCCTCCTCATCTCCTGCCATCCCTCAAGGCAGCACATCCACCCATGTCTCACACCCTGCTCACCACCCGCCTACCCGCCTGCTCCTGCGCACCCCCTGCGCCCTCACACACCCTCCCACCCTCCCCACCCGCGCCCTCCCCTGCCCCCAGGGCTACAACCCCAGCGAGACGCAGGCCATGCTGGAGTGGCGCCCCGACCGCCTGGGCCACTGCTGCTGCCTGAACCCGGCCCTGGAGCAGGCACTCGTGCGGTGAGGGTCGCCTTTTTGCACACGACGTGTCGCAGGCCGGCAGTGTGCCCCGCCCGCATGCCACGCCGGGTTGCCCTGGTGATGTGCAAGATCCCGGAACCCGCTGCAGCGCTGCCAGTGCCTGGCAGCTGGGCACTAATCCATGCACCAGCACGCACGCCGGCCGCGCGCTGCAGCCCCCAGCACGTCCCTAACCCCAAACGCAACCCCCTGCCGCCCCCCTGCTCCTCACTCCACCCTCCCCTCCCCACCCCCAGCTCCGGCATCCCGCTTGAGGTCTGCCTGACCAGCAACCTGCTGACTCGCGCGGTGAAGAGCTACGGCGAGCACCGCTTCCCTCTCTACTACCAGAGCGGTGGGTGCCCCACCCCGAACCCCCTCCCCTCTTGCAGGCTGGGATCCTAGATCATTGCCTTGTGCTGTATGTATTATCGTACATGCATGCATGACACATGCGTGCATGGCTGCGTGCATGGGCGGCGCGGCTGCGTGCTTGGGTGCGGCCACCCGGCACCGACGATGCGGTGCGCTGCTGCTGCTGGCGCAGGCCACCCGCTGGCGCTGTGCACCGACGACCCCGGCATCCTCAACACCACCCTGAGCCGGGAGTATGCCATTGCCAGCCACGTGAGGACCTGGCAGCTTCTTGAATGGTTTACTGATGTGTGACCTGCCACCAGGGGCTGCGTGTGGGGGCATGTGGTGGGGCTGTTCTCTGACAAGTCCGGGCTGTGCGGGCTGTGCATGAGGCAGTACAGGTTGGCGCCTTGCTTTGCTCGCACGCAAGCAGACGCATGCCCGGGCCGCGCTCCCGCGCCCGCCTCCGCAGGCCTTTAAGCTCACGCAGCGGCAGCTAGTGGCGCTGGCGCTGGGGGCCGCCAGCCACACCTTTCTGGAGGAGGAAGAGGCCGAGGAGCTGCGGGAGCGCATGAAGGCGGCTCTGCCTCGAGACATCCGCTTCAGGCTGGAGCGGGAGAGCGCGGCTGCGGCCTCGGCGGCCTCCACCGCCACCACCGCCTCGCTGGCAGAGGGGTCTGCCATGTCGGAGGATGGCGTGCGCCCGGTGCGGGGCCAAGCAGCAGGAGGAGGGGGAGGAGGAGGAGGAGGAGGCAAGCTGCCGCCCGCCTGGCGGCGGATGTGGGCGCAGGCATAGGCGTGGGCGGGGAGGCTGGCCGCCCGGGCTGCCGTTTCCCCGGCTCGATGATCCTTTGCTGCAGTTGGTCCGCGCATGATTTGGTGACGCGCCGATGTTTTCATTGATCTTTCGTTTGTTTGCACGAGAGCGCCTCTGACCCCCTGCTCTCTCGCCTTTCCCTGCCTCCCTCATGGGGCCATTTTTCCTGTCTCTCCCTCTGAGGCTCTTGTCGCCTTCAAATCAAACCCATCATCAGAGCATTGCCCAATGAACCAAATTAATCAACTCTGCATGCCTTACTACTGGCACTTAACCTCCTCCTGCTGCGCCCTCCCAAAGCTTTCTTGTTTACTTTCAGATTACATTCTGAGTATATGAGTAAAAACATGTGGCTGCTAGCACTGGTTGAAGAGGGACCATCCCACAGCGGCGGCGGCCTGCTGGTGGGCAGCGCGACAGGCGCGGCACCCTTGTGCTGCATGTGGGGCTCGGTTGGCCCAGGGCACAGGCCGGCGGCGCGGGTGCAAGGGGTCGGGGCGGCGGGCGCAGCATCAAAGCTGGTTGCCCCGCCGCCCCGTCATAGCTGCACTCCCGCGCCGCGCGGCCTGGTGCCTGGGCGCAAGCCGAGGGTAGCCGGTGTGCTGCGGCTGGCCATCTGGCCTGCCCTCTAGGGCGCCGCGGCGTTCAGGCACTCCTGCAGCTGTGGCTCCAGGCTGCAGGGGCTGGTGCGGGGGCCAAACCTGCACGCGCAGGTGCACAGCTAGGGCAGGGATCAGGCGCCTGGGGCTTGGTGGCAGGGATGAAAAACAGAAACAAACCAAAAGCAGAAACAGCAGGAGCCACGATACGGGCGCCGCCCCACCTGCCGGCCACGGTACCGTCCCGCTTCACGATGAACTTGGCAAAGTTCCACATGATTGGGGAGGTGTCGCTGGAGGCCACCTGCAGGGCAGGATACTGTGCGGTACCGGTCAGACGCCACCAGTATCTTTGAGCGCATGCGGTGACGCTGGTGTGAGACGGGGCTGGGGGTGAGCGGCGCTGCTGGTCGCAGCGTCAACCCCATGGTACTGCATGGTACAGTGCGGTACCACCTTGAGGAAGTTGTACACCGGGGAGGCGCAGGAGCCGTTGACGTTGATCTTGTCCATCAGCAGGCCTGCAGGGGCAGGGGAAAGGAAGGGCGGGATGGCGGGTGTGTGGGCGGGGTGTGGGGCCAGCGTTTGCTCCGAAAGCTTGACGCAAGCACGCCTGGCCAGCACGCCGGGAAGCCCAGCCCATCCCAGCACAGCGCAAATGCCCGTGCCCAGGCCCCCACCCTTGAAACCGTGCGCTGCGGCAAACTGCTTGATCTCCTCATTAGACCCCGGCTCTTGGGACGCAAACTGCGAGTGCAGGTGGTGGGTGCAGGTGCAGGGTTGTAGCGGCAGGGTCCCGGAACCGCCCGCGGGCAGAGCAGCGAGGGCCCAGGGCGGAGATGCGAGCCCAGGCAGCGCGGCCGGCGCCAAGCCCGCCCTGCCGCAGCGACGCCTGTCTGGCAGCATCAGGCGCCCACCTGGTTGCAGGGGAAGGCCTGGATGACCAGGCCCTGGTCGGCATACTTCTCGTGTAGCACGGTGAACTCCTGGGAAGGAAAGGAGGGCACGTCAAATTAAACGAGGCGGCAGGCGGGGCGCCCGCGCCCTGCTGGGCGGCCGAGCGGCGACCAGCAGGTCGCGCCGGCACAAACGCAGTGCGTTGCACAGGTGCTGGGGTGCCTCACCTTGTAGTTCACCGCTGTCAAGCCTCACTTGCTGGCCACATTCACCACGAGCACCACCTGCAGCGCAGCACCCAGCACCAGACGGCGGCGGCAGTCAGCACGGCCCGTTGCGCTAGGGCTCCCCGCGCTTGCGACTCGCCGCACCTTGCCGTCCAGCGAGCTGAAGTCCACGGGCTGCTTGTCGATGTCCAGCGCCGAGAGCTGGTGGTAGTTCGTTGCCTCGCACTTGGGCGTGGTGAACGACACCAGGTTGCCCATGCTTGCGGCGCTGCGTCAAGCGAAGGATGGATGCAGCAGGTGTGTTCACACACAGTATTCTGCCGACGGCGGGGATATCGCTCCTCATGATGACCTCATGTGCACAGCTGGCGAGCCGCCAAATCGCCGCCGCCGCCTTGCAAACAGCGCACTACTGCCTGTACTTTGCTCTTATTCAGCAAACCGCAAGTCGGTTGAGGTTACAACCATCATGCCAGCCAGCCGTCATCCCCTTCCAGCCCCAGGCGACGCCTCACCGCGCGTCGCCCAGCTGTGCCAGGCTGAGCGCCGCACGCATGAGCGCCGCTGCCGCGTGGTACTGCCGCCCCGCCAGCATCAGCAGCAGGCGGCGCTCCTGCACGGGCGCGGGGCGCAAGGCAGGCAGGGACGGTGAGCGGCCAGGCGGGTGCTCACGGCTCACCCAAGGACGGCCCACGGCAAGCTGAGCTGCGTGTACGTGCCACCCAACCAGCATCAGCCTGCATCCCTGCATCCCTCACGCCACACCACACGAACAGCCAGCCAGCCAGCCAGCCAGCCAGCAAAAGCCAGGTGCAGCAGCCCCGCACCTTGACTGCCTGCTCCCGCTGGGGCAGGGTATCCAGCAGTGCCATGAAGGTACCGGTCAGGGCCTGGGTCAGTCCCGCCCCAACGCCGGCCGGCGCCTCGGCCGCCTCTAGCAGCGCCTCCAGCAGAGCATCCTGGCCTGCCCCTGGTGCTGCCGCCTGCAGAGCAGCTGCCTCCGCCTGCCCCGCCTGCCCCGCCTGCGCGGCAGGTGCCGCCGGCCCCGGAGCAGCTGCCGCCGCTGCCGCCGCTGCGGGGGATCCCCGGGCCACCCGGCGCCTGGTGCCAGGCGCTCCGGCTGCAGCCGCCGGTGCGTGGGCCCGGCGCCGCCGCGGAGCGGGCGCGGAGGCAGCGTCTGCGGCGCGGGGAGCCGCCTGGAGTGTGCTAGGAGGCGCGGGGGCGCGGGTGGTGGCCACTGCTGCCGCCGCTGCCGCCGCGGCGGCCTTGCGTGTTGGCGCGCGCAGCCGGGCCGACGCTGCACGCCTCGCCCCCGGCGGCTGCTGCTGCTGCTGCTGCTGCTGCTGCTGCTGCTGCTGCACCCCCTGCTCCTGCTGCTGCTCCCCCTGGCGCTGCTGGACCTTCCGGTGCGCAGCACGCTCCGCACGGGCGGCCACCGTCGGGGCGGCGGGCCGAGCCGTGCGCTGCTGCTGCTGCCTGCGCGCCTGCTGCCCCCGCCTGCCCTGCCGCTGCTCCCGCGGCACCTTCTGGCTGTGCTGCTGCGGGGGCTGGGCGGGCAGCCAGGCCCAGCGCTGCTCGCGGGGATCCACCAGCAGCTCCATGCCATCATCGTACTGCACGCAGTACATCCTGCGGTACAGAAGATGCAGTACAGGGTGTGATGCGGCAAGGTGCGCTGACTGTGCAGCGCCAGCGCCGGCGGCAGGCAGGCAGACGCGCACACGAGAGCCTGCCGGAGGTGCAAAGAGCGGCAACGCGGCGAGCGCAAGTTCTGTGAGGGCGGCGGCGGCCAGCGGGAAGCTGCGGCGCACCCGCTGCGCAGCACGTGGGATACCCGGCCGCAGTACCACTCTCCGTCCTCCGGCCACCACACCCGCAGCCGCCGCCTCACATCACTCCCTCCCTCTCCTGCTCCAGCTGCCGCTCCTGCTCCTGCTCCTGCCTGCGCCTGGGCGGCTGCCGCGGGCCCTGGCGCGCCCGCGGCTGCTGCTGTTGCCTCGGGGCCGCCGGCCCGGGTGCCTGCAGCTGCCGCCACCAGCGGCGCCACCGCCGGCGGCGCCGCCACCTCGTGTTCTGTGGAGCACAGATCCAGAAGCGCCTCCTCGCCGTCATCAAACACGACGTGGTGCTTGCTGCAGGCGGAGGGCAGGCGGCGGGCAGAGCAGGGGTGAAGGGGCGGCGGCGGGTGGAGAGGAAACCCTGCCGGCGGCAGGCGGGGCTGCTGGCATGGAGCTTGCGCTGTACGGTGATGTATGGCGAATGACTTGAAGCCACCACTCTTGGCAAGCAAGCTCTCTCTGCTCTGCGCAAGTTGCTAAACCCTAAACTCACCCCGTGGGTGTCAGCTCCGCCACCCGCCCCTCAAAGACCTGCCTGCCTGCTCCGTGAGGGTCGAGCCACACCCGCAGGCGGCACCCCACAGCCGCAGCCTCTGCCGCGCCGCCATCCCCCGCGCCGCCGCCGCCGCCGCCGCCGGGCCGGGCTTGGTGCGAGGCGGTGGCGGGCCGGGCACGCCGCTGCCGCTTGTGCCGCCGGCAGGCCGCGCCGTCTGCCGCTGCCTGCGCCGCGTGCTGGGGCTCTCGGCTCTCGGCTTCAGCGCCAGCCACGGCCCGCCGCCGCTTGCTGCCGCGGTGGTCTGCTCCCGGCGCCGTCCGCGCTGCTGTGGTGCCTGCTGCTGCTGCTGCTTCTGCTTCTGCTTCTGCAGCCGGGCCCGCCTCATCCTCGCCACCCGCCTCGGGCGCTGCCACCGCCGCCTTCACAGCTGGCCCTGCCCCGCCGCCAGCTGATTCAGGGCTGCTGTTACGCTCCGGCACATTCCCATCCCGCTGCTGCTGCTGCTGCTGCTGCTGCTCCTGCTGCTGCTGTCGCCCGCTGCCGCCATCGGGCTGTTGCTTGGCGCGATGTGCAGGCGTCGAGCTGGCAAGCTGCTCCCGGAGCTGCTGCGGGGTCTGAACCTGCATCTGAACCAGCGCCCGGCCTTCTCTGGGGAAGGGCCACAACAGCACGCCCGGCAGAGGAGCCGCTCCCTGGGTCGCCGACTCCTCGCCGCCGCCGATGCCATCGCCGCCAATGCCAGGCGGCGACCGCCACGGCGCGGGTCCCTCCGCCATCAGCAGCTCCTGATACAGCATGCCGCGATTCAGCAAGGCCCGCTCAGAGATGGGCTGGGATGCCGCACCGCCTGAGGGTGGCACAGTTTCGCAAAAATATGGGTCTCTAGCTACTATACAGACCCTGCTGATCCGATCGATCGATGACGGGAGGCAACGCACCCACATCGGAGGCCTTGCATGTACGAAAACCGGCCCGGCGCCAGGTGGCGCGCAGGCACCACCGCCCCTTCCACCCAGCCCAGCATAGCAGGCGCCCCCCACCCAGCTGGTCCACACCTGCCCTGATTGATTGCAGTTACAGAGTCAGGTACAGTGAATGCACGATTCCTGAGGGGCTGCAGCAGCAGCCGCAAAGCACAGGCCCGCCGGGGCGAGTGCCCAGCGGCGGCCCGAGAGCGCCGAGCAAGTGACGCCGCGCATCACGCCGCGCGCATGTCCCCTGCTTCTCAAAGCCGCAGCCTCAGCCTCAGCTTGGGACGTACTCGAAAGGCTCCGGCGGCGGCGGCTCGTCGCCGGCGCCGGCAGCAGCCGCGGGCGCGGCGGCGCCCTCGGCCGCGGCTGCGGCGGCGGCGGGGGCGGCTGCGGCTGCGGGCTTGTCTTCTTGGAACAGATACTCGACCTCGCCGCCGTCGGGCTGGCTGTCCCGCAGCAGCACAAAGCCTGCAGCCGAGTATAGGATTGGGGGGTGGGTGGGGGGGATGTCTGGGGGGCTGGGGAGGCGGCATGGCGAGCAGGCGCGGCCACATGGATAGGTGTGCAGCTGGCAGGCAGGCAGCCTCTGTGCAGGCAAGCGAGCTCCCATGAGCTCCTCCCCAGCGGCAGCAGGCTGCGGGGCGCGCACCCGAGGGCGCGGGGCGGATGGGCTGGAAGCGCTGGCCTGGCGGGAAGGAGATGTACTTGCGCTGGCCTGGCGCCACGCGGGCGGGGTTGTCCACTGCAGGCAGGACAGGGCAGGCAGGCAGGCAGGGAGCAACACGGATGGCTGGCAGCAGGGCCCGGGACGCCGCGGGGAGCACCACATGCCTGCCTCCCCGACAGCCGCACACTGCTCAGCGGCCTGCCTGGCAGCGGGCGCCGCCACCCCCACCCCCACCACACACACCCAGCCACTCCCCAGCCAGCCAGCCACCCACCCGTGAAGCTGGCAGGCTCCGGAGCCGCCTTCTCCTCCTTCTTCTTCTCCCCGCCCTCCTCTGCCTCCCCGCCCTCCTTCTTCTCGCCATCCGCGGCAGCGGCGGCGGCAGCAGCCTCGCCGCCCGCCGGCTTGTCTGTATCCATGGCCTCTGGCGGCGTCGCAGCCGCCGCCGCCGCGCCGCCGCCGCCGTCGCCGGCTGCGGCGTCTTTGGCTTTCTTGGCGGCGCGGGCCTTGGCGCGCACGGTGGTGGAAAGCACCGCGGTGGGCAGCTGCAAGGCAGGAGTAGGGCAGCTGGGGTGGGGGGCTATTGCCAGCCAACCAGAACCTGCCCGCCACCTCGCCACAAGCCCTTCCAGCTGCTCCCCGCATCAAGCCACACGCTGGCCGCACCCAACCCGTCGCTCACACCGGCTCCTCTCCCACTGCAGCCCACCCCACCCCACCCTCTCCCAAGGCAGCCACGCCACCCCTTCCCTCTCCCCACAGCAGCCGCCCTAGGCCCTCTCCCCATAGCAGCCACCCCCTCCACCCCCTCCCTTCCCACCTTAGCCTTGTCCTTCTTGTCATCCACCTTGACGGGCGGCGCATAGGCAAACTGGGAGGGCTTGCAGTTGCTCACCACCTGCGGGCAGCAGGGGCGGGCATCCCCGGGCCCGTCCTCCAGTCGCGCCTCCAGGCAGGGCCCAAACCGAGAAGCACCGCAGGCACTCCTGCGGCGATCTCCAAGCTGGGACTTCACAGCAACACAAAACATCCTTTGCTGTAGAATCTATAAGTAGAAAGGCACCAGCCCTGCCAACCTGGAAGTGCTTGGGCGCCTGCAGCGAGGCATCCACGCCGATGAGGGCGGTGGGCTGTACCGCCAGGCTGATGCAGTACGACAGCGGGTACCAGTACCAGTACTGCGTGAACAGCGCCAGCCCGATCACGGCGGTGCGCCTGCGGGGCGCGGGGCGGGTGCACAGGGCGGGGGCGGCGCCGGCGGGGCGCGTGAGTGCGTCCGCATGCGTGGGCAAAGCGCGCCACCGTGCGCAAGGGTGTGTGGGGCGGGGGAGGGCGCCAGACCATAGCCAGGGCGCATGGGGGCCAAGAGCCGGCGGCCGCAGTGGATGAGGGGGAGTGCACCCAGCCGCTCCACAGTCAGCCCCAGCCCCCAGCCCCAGCCCCCAGCCCCAGCCCCCAGCCCCCAGCCCCTGCCCCAGTCCCCAGCCCCAGCGCCCAGCCCCAGCCACCCGCACCTGAAGTGTCCCGAGCGAGAGCGCAGGCCCAGGGTCGCGTTGCAGCCGCCCGCATCCAGGATGCCTGCCGCCATGATGGCGCCCATGCGGGTCATGATCTGCGGCGGGAGGAAAGCAGGGCAGGGCAGGGCAGGGGGCAGAGGCAGGAGAGGATGATGGGGCAGGCAGGCAGACAGGCAGACAGGCACTGCCAGGGTCGGCCCCAGTGCGGGGACGTGGCACGCAGCAGGCTGGGGTGTGAGAAAGGGAGGCGCCGCCACGCCAGGCAGGCACGGCCGGCAAGCCGGCGCCGCTAGCGCAAACAGCGACAGCGCCCACACGGCACCGGCAGCACAGCCACCACACAGGCAACGGCGCAACCGGCCCACCCAACCAGACAGCACCGGCGGCGGCGCCGCGATGCAGGCAAGGGCGCTGCCAGCCCGGCCGCCGCACCTCTGCGCCCTTGTTGCCGTACAGCCTGTCGATGTGGCCGCGCAGTGTCTTGGCCTTGCTCTCCGGCTGCTCCACCAGCACCAGCGCCAGCGCAATCAGCGCGCCCTGCTGCACAAAGTCGACGCTGTCCCTGCACACACACACACACACACACAGCACAGCACAGAGCACAAAAGGGGGCAGTCAGGGGTAAGGGCAGGGTGACGGGCCAGGCAGGGCAGACGCGGCGCAGGCTGCGGGGCCGGGCGGCGGGCTGGCGTGTGATGCGACCGCCGCCAGCGCCATGTGTGTGCCGCCCAGCCAGCCCGGCCTCACCCTGCCAACTGGCACGCTGCCTGCCACGCCCTAACCAGAGCATGGGGCCGCCCACACAGGCGCTGTGCACTACACACACACACACACACACACACACAGCCGCCGCTCACTTGACCAGCGGCTCCAGCAACGCCATTGCCTCCCGCATGCCCGTCCCCGCGCAGGCAATCCCCACAGCCATTGCCGCGCCGTACCTGCGGTACGGGCGGTACATGAGGCAGTACATGAAACGCCGAGGAGGCGGCGAATGTGCAAGCCCGGGGGGCAGGCAGGGGGCGCAGCCCGCCCACTGCCGAACTCGACACAACCCAGCGCGGCATGCGGAGGAAGCTTCGGCGCCGCCGCCTGCAGCCGTGCCGTTTGGCGGTTGCGGCAGCCGCTACCGCCGCTCCCAGCCGCTGAAGCCAACTCACCGAACGTGTGGGTTGTAACTCTCGGCCAGCAGGCTGACAATCTTGGGGCACTGCTCCGGGGTGGAGGCCAGCAGGAAGCCGAGGTTGAGCACGGCGGCGCGCCGCACGTCGTTGGACACATCTGCGCCGCCCGGGAGGGAGGGAGAGGGAGCAGAGGAAAGGAGGGCGTCGCAGGGGGTGTCGCAAGAGCGGCATGTGATTTGCCAAAACATAATGCTGGTCAGCCAAGTGCGATCCCCTGTATCTTCTATCTTCTACGTTTAGGGGATACTGGTACTGCACGACTCCAAAATGGCCACCGACTCAAGTCATTGCATCTGTCCTGCCCTCGTTCGTTGCAGGCCTGCCCGCACGCCCGCGCCCACCACCCACCCGACACCGCAAAGTGCAGCAGCTTCTGGATGGCGGCGTTGTTGGAGGTTCCGCAGTACGCCAGCCCCGTCACAAACATGCCGCCATAGCGCAGGATGGGGTCCTGCGCAGGTGGGCAGGTGGGTGGGGAGGGGAGTTGGGGGTTCAGCCGGCGGGGAGGGAGCCCTCCCACGGGCGCAGCGGTAGAATGGGAGGGTGTGGCAGGGCAGCGCCGGTGGGTGGGCAGTCCAGGCACCCCTGAGGACAAAGGTCCCGGGGCAGCTGAGGGCGCCCCATGCCACGCACAACCAGAAGCGCCAGGAAGAAAGCGCCAGGAAGAAAGCACCAGGCAGGCAGCGGGCTCACCAGCTCGCGGGTCATCTGCTCAATCATCCCCTCCGCCGCCTCCTCCCGCCCATACTGCACCAGCGCCAGGCCCACAGCCACGCCCCGAATGATCTTCTCGTGCTGCAGGCAGGCAGCGGTGAGCAGGGAGGAGGATGGCGAGGGGTGGGGTTGGAGGCGGCAGGCAGGAGCGGCAGGGCTGCCAGCAGCGCACGCGGCCCTGTCCGCACACAGCTGCAGGCAGCTGCCGCAAATATGCTCAGGGCCACGGCACCGCACCATGCAGTATCGAATCATACCGCACCATACCATACGGTACCGCACCTGCGTCTCATGCGCATACGCCAGCAGCTCGGCCGCCTTGTCGGTGCCGCTCCCCGCAAACAGCAGGCCCAGGCTGAGGCCGGCCGCCTCCCCCGCCACTGCAGCGCCAGGACACGGGGCGGGGGCTACGGTCAGGCCACCTCAGCACGCCGCCAAGTGGCTGGGTCACCCACAGCTGCACACCATCACCGCGCTGCCACGCGCACCGCACATGCTGCTGCCCCACACAGCCGGGCTCCGCAGCCGCCCATCGCGCCGAGGCACAGCACCCCCTGCGCGGGATTCCCTGCGCGGCAACCGGCCCTCGCGAATCCAACACAACCCTGTACCCACCCACCCTGTACCCTCCCGCAACCGACCCTCACAAATCCTGCACACACCCTACCCACCTGCATTGTCCATGTAAAGCACGTTCTTCACATCCTCAAACGCCTCCTCATCCTCTGTGCCCAGCGCCGCAATGCCCAGGCCCAGGCACGCGCCGTGCTGCGTGACCTGCAGGAGGAAAGCGGCGGGGCAGAGGAGGAGGCCAGGCCAGAGGTGGGCGGGCAGGGGAGCGGGGCCGGGCCAAGGGAGGAACAGCCCGTGCGCCAGCAAGCAATGGAGAGCCCAGCAGCGCCGCCGCACGTGTCGCGCTGCCGGTGCTGCACGGCCCTCGAACGCGGCTGCCCAGCCGCCGCCTGGCCGGGCCCCGCACCCAGCCAGCCATGCCACCCGCCGGCACATGCCCTGCCGCCCAGAGCTGCCTGCTGGGCCGCCTGCAGGGCACCCACCTCGTGCTGCGTGCCGCGCAGCGAGCCCAACAGAAACTCGCGCACGTCGGCGCCGTGGCTGGTGTGGATCAGGCCCAGAGCATACAGGGCGCCGCCCTCTGCAAGGCAGGGAGGGAGGCATGTGCGTGTGTGGGGTGCCAGGGCGTGTGCATGTGCGCTGTGATGATGCTGTGATGACTGGACCGCGGGAAGTCCGCAGAGCAGGTGAGCAGGCACACCAGCAATGTGGCGCATCAGTCGGGAGCAAGGGATCCCCTCTGCAAAGCTGCGCGGCGCCTGCCAGCCCAGGCAGCCACGCTCGGCCACCCCCCAACACAACCCCGCCTCGCAGCCCCCGCCTGAGACCCCCAAGCCAGCAGCCCAGGCTGCCCACCTGAGTAGGGGCTGGGTGTGGAGCCGCCGGGGGCAGAGGGCAGGTAGGGAGCCATGATGGCGCGGCTCTTGCCCACGTTGCCTCTGTGGATCACGCCCAGGCCTGCACACAGGCGCCACGGGGAGCAGCGCCATCAGCGAGTTGCTTTCACAAACGGTGAATGCAGAGCAAGCACGGCACCGCAGCACCCTGGCTCTACCTAGCCAGCCAGCCAGCAGCCTCCGGGGCCTTGCATCCCCCATGCCCACAGCCCGCCTGCGAAAATGTACTGCCCAGGCCCCCGGCCCTGGCCCGCATGCACTGCCACCTGTACTGCCTGCTGTCCCACCTGCCGTGGCTGAAAACTTGGCCCAGTTGGTTGCCTTCTTCAGCCAGTCCAGGTTCTCCCGCAGGAAGGCGTCCACGGTGGTGCCGCAATGCATGAGCGAGTTGGCAAACACGGTGGCTGAGTGGCACACGCTGCAGGGCGGGTGGGGGCGGGCGGGGGCAGACAGGGGCGTGGGTTGGTGGGCAGGCAGTGCGCAACGGATGCAGCCAGCTGCGTGCGTCTATGACACAGGCCCGCTACCACTGCGGCGCCACCCCACCACCCCACCACCAAACACCCACAAACAGACGCGGGCAGCCTCGCCGACGCCGACGCCCACCCACCGCAGTGCCCGCCCACCTGTTGCGCGGCTCCACCGTGGCCCGGATGTTCTTAAGGATCTGTAGGTCGGCGTGGTTGTGGCGAGCCAGGAACTGGCGCTCCAGCTCGATGGGCACCGCGCCGCTCATCACGCTCTGCGGGGAGGAAAGAAATCGAGGGAGGGAAGAAATTGAGGGGAGGAAAGAAGGAAAGCGCCGCTCGTCACAGGGTGCGGGGAGGCATGGCGGGAGGGGGGGAGGGAGGGAGGATGGCGGGGTGGGAGGGAGACAATCCGGCGGTGTGCTGTGGTTGTCGCCAGCGGCGGCGGAGGCGGGGGGCGGGCGCGGGCAGGCAGGGGCGCACCTTGAACCGCGACAGGCGCTTGGCAAAGGGCGAGGCGTCCTCCTCTGCTGCAGGGGCCGCCGCCGCAGCAGCTTGGTCCATCTCCATCTGGTCGCCGCCCTCGGCGGCAGCAGGCGGCGCGGCGGCCTCCCCGGCAGCAGGCGCGGGGGCGGCTGCGGGAGCGGGGCTCGGCGCCAGCTGGTCCAGCCTGGCGTTCACCTGCAGGCACAGGTCAAACCCACTTCGTTGACGTCAACAACGATTGGCAGGCAGGCAGCAGGACTGGAGAGCCCGCGTGCCGCGCCCGGGCTTGGCGGCGCTGCCGCATGCTCTCCTGCTCTCCACACGACGCCTGCCCAAACCTCCCGCCCGTGCCTGCCCTGCCTACCTCCCACACCACAAACCCACACAATTGACCCAACCCCCTGCCCATGAGCGCCTGCACCCCAGCATCCAACCGCCCCGCCCACCCCTCCCTGCCCTCCACAACCCCTGGCCGGACAAGCACACCCCTGCGGCCCACCTTGCCCATGAACGCCTGCAGCTCCGCATCCACCAGGTCAAAGGCAATCTGGTACGCCAGCAGCGCATCGTCGTCGCTGCCCCTGCAGGCCACCGCGGGCGGCGGCGGCGGTGGTGTGTGGGCGAGCATGCGCGTGTATGCGGGCCCGGGGCCCGGACCAGCGGAAACCAGCGGGCGCTACACCGAGGCTGGCAGGAGCCAGGCGCAACAGGCTGTCCCCCAAACACGGCATGCCGCCCCAGCAGCCGCAGCCGGCCAGGCCAGCCGCACAGGCTGGCCGCAGGCGCGCGGGCTCAGCGGGACAGGCACAGCGCACGCAGCGCGCCCACCCCAGCAGGCGGAACAGGATGGCGGCCACCTCCTCAGGATCATCCAGGAACATGAGGCAGCGGCAGATGGCGGCGTAGTCGGGGGCCGCTACGCCCTCGTAAAGCCGCACCACCAGGCGCAGAACCTGCAGGTACAGTGCGGTACAACGCGGCAACGCTGCAGTGCAACGGGCGGTGCGCAGGCAGCGACGGCGGCACACGCGTTCGCGCCAGGCGCCGGCGGCTCGCCCGGCAGCGGCGGCGGCGAGCCCCGACCCTCATTCCGTGGTGGGCACCGCGCATCCACTCTTAGTGGACAGAGCAGGCACACACCTGGTTGCGGAAGTCGCGGCTCACCACCAGCTTCTGGCTGACTTCCAGTGCATACTTGAGCGTGCGCACCGCATCTGCGGCAGGACACCGGCGGGATGTCGGCAGGACCGTGATCACTTGCGGGCGGCGCTCCTGATTGGCCGAGCAGGCAACAGGCACCCGGTGTGTTCCCAGAAGGGCTGCATGGTACGGCACTTCGCCACTGCACTCGAACAGCAGCAGCGGCGCCCGCTGCAACAAGCAGCGCCTGCTGCAACGCAGCACCGAGAGCGGAGGCAGGGCAAACAACCAGGCGGCGCCACTATGTGTGCCGCCCGCACCTGGGCTCGAGGTGATGGCTCTCTCCAGCTGGTCCAGCCGCCGCGACTCGAGCGCGATGCCCACCGCCTGCTCGTACTGCCCATCCGAGTAGCACCTGCCGGGCAGGACGGGGCAGGCCAGCGCCGCACGCGGCAGGTCAGCGCGGCGCCGGCGGCTGGTGCGGCAACAAGGCCGGGAGGCGAGAGCAGGTGCGCTTCTTGATGCACAACAGACGCCACGGAACAGGTGGCAGGCACTGAGCTGAAGAGCATCAAAACCAGCGCACAGGAAGCAGGGTAGGCAGCACATGGAGGCAGCACAGGCACACCTCTCAAACAGCCGCTCCACGATCGCCACCAGCCGGCCATCCAGGCTGGCACCCCCGCCCTCCGCCTCCTTCACCCGCTGCTCCACATAGGTGTCGATGCAGCGCGCTGCGGGAAGGGTGGGTGAGAACGGCGGAAGGCAGCAGCGGTGGAGCACACGGTTGCACAGAGCCGCCGCCGCAGCACCCGGAAGAAACACTCACATCCGCCGATGCAGCATGCAACATGCTGCCTCCTACTAATTCAGCAGCACGCAAGATGCAGGAGGCGCGGAAGGGGACTAGCGAGTGGCGCTGTCTCTGCTGCTGCTTCTCACTTCGGCGGCGCCACTCACCCAGGATGGTCTGCACATACTCGGCGCTGCTGTTGACATCAAACAGGCTGCCGGCACCCAGGGCATAGGTCAGCGCATCGTCCAGGTCTCCCAGGTGGTAGAAGACCTGCGAGTCGGGGTCGGGACAGGTGGAAGGAGCAAGGAGGAGCGGTCGGTTGCGGGTGGGCGGCAGCGGGGGCGGGTGGCGGCGGCACCCCTGTAGGGCCTGGCGCCGCTGGCGGCCCGCTGATCCCGCCAACGCCTCTGTCCAGGCCTGTCTGGGTCGGTGGGGGGCGTCGATCGGTGGGGAGCGCACCTTGGAGGCCACCAGCGCTGCCAGTTCGCGGTGGCTGAAGTCCTCGTCCTCGTAGAGAGCCTCGATGGCTGCGATAGAGCTTGATATCTGGAACCAGAAGTCGTGCCCGCTCCTATCCAGCTGCTGCAGGGCGTAGAGCTTGAGGCTGTCCTCGTCCTCGTCCAGCAGCGCCAGCACGTGGGCCGCGCTGGTGGCGCCCGCCATGGATGCGGGCGCCGAAGGCTTCAGCACCGCAGTAGCCAGCGTGCCCGCTCCCCCACCAAGATGATCAGCTCGGTCTCCCGCTGCCTCCACTCCTCCCCTGCTGGCTGGATGGTGGCTGTGGCGGCAGAGGCACGGTTTGAATGTCCCTGTGCCGCTGGGTGCGCTATGAGGGTGGTGACATGGCGGGACGCCTTCTACCTCCCTACTCCCCCGGCCAGTGCATTGCAGTTCCTTCGCACACTGTCGATCGCGGCGGTGCCATGGCATCAAACGTCGGGGCACCGGCGGGGAGCCAGGAGGTAGAGAGGGTCGGCACTCTTTGCACTGCGCGCCACGGGCAGCCAGGAATGGTGTGTCATTGCCTGATGACAGCCGTACCGATCGACTGTGATCCCACCGACCCGCTTGCAGGCCTGCCACCACTGTCGCCGCCGCTCGCCGCTGCCAGCGCTGCCTGCTGTGCGTCGTGTGAAACCTGCGCGGTGCACTTCCCAGGCCCGCCAAGCTGTGGATGCATCACGCCATGGGATTCAGCAACGCTTGGACCACCTTGGGCGGCGGCAGCTGCTGCTTGGAGGCCTGCTGCTGGCGGGCGCAGCCGCCGCGCCTAGCAGCCTAGCAGAGGTGGAGGCGGCGGCAGCGACCAGCACCACAGGCGCAGCCGACGACCTGGTGACCTTTGCCAACCCCTCCCAAGGCTACACCCTGCTGCGGCCAGCGGCGTGGGAGCAGGTGCGCAGCCTGCGGGCTTGCCACGCTTCCAGCAGCCAACCAACGTTGAGCTCCGCCCGCATGCTGCCTCTGCTGCCATGACCACACACTGCCACGATCGTGTGTGCTGCACACTGCCACTGCCTGTGTGGGATTCCTTGGCTGCCTCCCTCACACAAGCTGCGCCGCCGTCAGGTGGACAAGGCGGGCGCCGACAGCCTGTTTCGGGACCCGTCAAAGAAGAGCACCAATGTAGGGGTCACTGTGTATCCGGTCCGCATCGCCTCCCTGGACCAGTTTGGAGACCTGCAAGCGGTGGGGGAGCGGCTGCTGGGGGCAGGTGAGGGCGAGGCGGCAGGGGCGCATGGGCAGAGGCTGTGGCCTTTCCCAAGGAAGAGCCTCGTGGGTAGATGCGGGCAGGCAGGAGGCAGCGGCTGCCAGGCGCGTCGTCGGCATGCCCGCAGCTGGGGTGTGCTGCTGCTGCACAGCCCCGCAGCTTGCACGGCACCACCTCTGCAGCTCCAGCCTCGCCAGGCTGCTTAAAAGTGTCTGTGCTGAGGCTGCTGGGGAGCCTGCGGCGCTTGCTCAGTCGACCCCCTGCCTGCCCTGCCTATGCAGAGCGGGCCAAGGAGAGCACGCTGAGCGTGGCCATGGTGGCGCAAACCGCGCGCAGCAGCGCCAGCGGGGCGGCCACGTATGACTTCGAGTACGAGCTGGAGAGCACGCGGGGAAGAAAGCGCATCCTGTCGACAGGTACGCACAGCCTGCCGCATGGGCACAGGCCCTGGGGTGGCCCAGCTTCTGGAGCAACGGCGTCGCTGCTGGGCGGCATGGGAGCGCCTCGCAGGCGGCTGCGGGCAGGCGGCACAGAACATGAAAACATGATGAGCAGGGCACTTTCGCCGGGTCTACGCACCCTCCCGCAGCGCAGCTGCCCTTGGTCAGTCTGCTGTGCTCAGGCTCACTGCCTCTCCATCCCGTGCAGTCACCATCGCCGGCGGCAAGCTGTACATCTCAAACGGCAACATCTCGTGCGCCAAGGAGAGCTGCGCAGGCGTGGAGGCGCAGCTGCCGTTGCTGCGCCGCATCACGCAGTCGCTGGCGGTCGCAGCTGGCAGCTTCTGACCTTGGCACTGTTGGTGACCCAGGTGACCCTCGGAGAGTGTTGAGCGTCCGGTTTGTTTCAGCTACTTAGCAACTCACTGACTTGATATTGCTGGCGCATTTGTAACGCCTTAAGTTCATGCTGGCACCATGTACAGCACACTACGGAAGCACGCAGCGCCCGTCCCTGGTGAGTACGTACGGGAAGTCGTCGGCGCATTTGGTGCAGCGGTTGGGATTACCATCACATAAACGGCAGCGGTAGATGTCGGCGCAGCGCTGCATGCCATAAGGGCACTGGCTTCAATACCCTGGGCACCAGTTTAATAGGCAGTTCCACCCTAGCAGCAGCTTGATGGTATTCCCATGTTACACAGCTCAGGCGGGAAGCAGGCAGTGAACACTCAGGTAGGTTGTACAGGGAGGCTCTCAATACTCGTGCAAAAGGCGCTGGCTACGCTCGTGAAATCAAGGTGCGACAAAATGCGCGGCGGCCCTGGGCGGTGCAAGAAACGCTTGAGGCGGCTGGACACAGCCGCTGATTCATATCTCAGGGGGCATGCGTTTTGTGCCTGTGGCAGTCAGAGCGGAAAAAACAGGATCGTGCTGCCCAGGAAGCAAGGGGGAGAAGTGGTGGCAGCATGCGTTAGTATGGTTGTTTATCATGGTTTTTGCAACCAGCCGTGCAGGCAAACGAAAGTTCGTGTGGTGCATGCATCATGGAACTGAATGAATGCAAGGAAATGGAATGGGAGAGATGTGGGAGCGGCGCGGGCTTCAGGGAACTGCTACTGCGACTCCAGGCGCCGGCGCTTGGCGTCGTCCTGCAGGGAACCACACAGGCGCTGCTCGGCGAGGCGCCAGGAACGGAATTTGCCCTGCTGGGATGGTATCCGGCGCAAGCTGCCGGCGGGCGACCAGCAGGCGACCGGCATGCTGCAAACTGCTGCCGCACCACGCCGCTCTGCAACCCTCAACACCACACCACCCACCTGCTGGCCCGCCAGGTGCACATGCAGCTGATCCAGCTCCTCGTCGGTGGCTATGCCTGGCCCGCCTCGCCGCTTCGCGGCCTCCGCAGCCGCCGCGTCTGCCTCCTCCTGCACCACGCTGCGGCTGGCCGAGCGCCGGCTGCCACCGCCGGCCGACAGTGTGCCCAGGCTTTCGGCGGCGGCCAGCATCTGCGGCCCCAGCGCTGCCGGGTAGGGCCGCCGGGCCCCCGAGTCTCCTCTGCTGCCGCTGCCGCCACCACTGGTGGCGCCAGAGTGGGCCAGCGGCCGGCTGCCCATCCCCTGCAGGAAAGCCTGCGCCTGCGGCTGCTGCTGCTGCTGCTGCTGCTGCTGCTGTTGAGGCAGGGATGGCGGCGGCTGAAACTGGAGGCTGAACTGTGCCGCTGGCTGGTGGCGCGGGAGCACCTGCTGCTGCTGCTGCTGCTGCAGCAAGTCGAGCTGCTGCTGCACCTGAGCCTGCACCGCCTGGGCCTGCATCGCCTGCAGCAGCAGCATCTGAACCTGCTCCTGGGCCGGCACCGGCGGCGCCTGGGAGGCCTGCTGCAGCAGCGCCAGGACCGCCTGGACCGAGTGCACGCCGGCCTGCGCCTCCGGCGCCGGCGCCGGCGGCGTCGACGCCGGCAGCGCCTGCGTTGGCTGCGCCGGCGGCGCCGGACCCTGCTCCGGCATCGACTGCGATGCACGGCGGTCGTCCTGCTGAGCTGTCAGCGTTGTCGCTTCAGGCGTGTCGTCTGCAAGGCCCTTAGGAGAACTGGGAAAGAGAGGTCAGCAGGACGGCCCAGTGTGCCCAGTGCGCCCAGCATTGACCTCCCACCTGCCACCTGCCCGCCTGGCTGCCAACAGCCGGCTCGTGCCGGCGCACCTGCGAATGCTATCGCCTTCTGGCCGGCGGCAACGCTGGCGGGGAGGCCCAGCTGGCGCTCCAGGTCCGTCACTCGGCTCTGCAGCGTGGCAGGGCACGGGCAGGGCAGGGCAGGCACTCAGGAAGGTCCGCCTGCATGACGGCGCCGCGCGGCTGCGGCGCCACAACACAGGGCCAACCAGCGAACCCCATTGCACTGCTGCTCGCTTGGCTGGCGCATCTGCTGCTGCCGTGCTGTCCACTGTCGCTGCTGCTGCTGCTGCTACTGGGTGGGTGGGGGGCGCGACGCCCTCTGCACGCGGCCGCAGAGCAACCTCCACGCACCTGCAGGCGCTGGACATACTGCACCACCTCCTCCAGAAAGTTGGCGGTATTGGCTCTCTCGGTGTGGGGCACCAGCAGCCGCAGCGCCTCGAGCCTGCAGGGTGTGGGGCACGAGCGGGCAGCGGCGCAGGGCGCACCGGTCAGCGCTGGCTGCAGAGAGCCCAGATGGGCTACCATCGCGCATGCAGGAGCTTGGCAGGCGCAATCCGCTGCCAGGCGGGCGGGGATGTGTCAACGCAAATCGCCCGCAGTGCAGCGGGCACAATGAGCAGAGGCGTGACAGGCCGGCACCCACCTCTCGTTGATGCGCGATCGCCGACGCGCCTCCGCCTGCACGTGCATAGCATGGAAAAGCACACTGCGTGAGCTTGCTGCACGGTAGGGTAGGTGGAGCAGCATCAGCAGGCAGGCTACACGGCGGCAGGGCGCACATCTCTTCGCTGGCACTCTGCAACCGCCCCAAGCGGCTGCAGGGGTGTTTGCAGGCATACGTGCCTGCTGGTGTCGGGCATTGTACGAGGTGGCAGGCCGCGCCTCGCCGGCACTGCGCCCTGGTCGGCTGGTGGCAGCCGCGGGGCGGGAGGGAGCCGGAGGCGCGCCGCCGTCGCCGCCGTTGGGCAGCGCAGGCGGCACTGGCAGCTGCGGCGCCCCCGCATCTCGCTCTCGTCTCGCGCTGGACTGCAGGTGCTGAAGGAGCTGCTGCACCTCTAGGTCCTGCTGATGGCTTACAAAGGGCATGGCGCTGGCGGCCTGCATGTTGACGGCCGCCGCGGGGACCCGCGCCAGCAGGTCCTGCAGCGCGGTCAGAGCGTTCGGGTCGAGGGCCAGGGGAGACGTGCTGGCGGCGCCAGTACACAGCCGAGGCTCTTTTGTCATGCGCTGGATGAAGCGACAGCGACATGCACCATTGCAAGGGTTGGCGGAAGGGGCGTGCGTTGCGGCGCGCTTGGGGCCTCATGTTTTCCTGAGTTTTCTACCACCTCGCTCACCAAACTGTTTGTCAAAAGGTCGCTTTTGGACAGCCCGCCCCCACCCGTGACGGGTGCAGAGGCCAATTGACTGCACCTGTGCACCCTGAAATCGGCAGTGCCGCTGATCGGCTCGAACCCATGCTTGGCAACCGGTTGGGCAGCGGGTTGGGCGCTGGAAGGCCCTCCGACGAGGGAGTGAGGGACACGAATGACGACGCCCAGCTCAGCAAGCTGTGCGTGATGCTCCTGGTCATTTCCCGGCTGCCGCCGCCGGTGCCGCCGGCGCCCCCGCAGCCCGTGGCGGGCCCCTAACTAAGGTGCTGCGGTGCGTGGCCCCGCCCCTGCAGCTCCTGCGTGCGGCACGGCTACTTCCAGGACTCGTTTGTGCACCACTTTGTGCGGCGGCCCGCCCGCCGCTCGCCCCTGATCAACCGAGGTGGGACAACTGTCTGGTGCTGCTTGCAGTGCCCAGCGCAGCCCAGCAGCCTGCCCCTCGTGCGAAAGCGAAGGATTTAACTGACCTCAGCCACCTACTTATGTGATGATCAGGCACCTGCTTATGTTGCGATCCGCAGGCTACTACTCTCGCTATGCAGCCCTGCGTAGCCTGCTGATGCAGTTCCTAGCGCTTGGCCTCGGCGGCGGCGGCACCGCATCGCCAGCGCAGCAGCCGCCGGCGCAGCAGCCGCCGGCCCCCGGCCCGCAGCCGTCGCAGCAGGCAGAGCAGCCTGCCGGCCAGCAGCCGGCGCCGCCAGCCACCCTGCAGCAGGAGCAGCAGCAGCCTGGCCTGCAGCAGCAGGCGGCGCCCATGCAGGCGCCCAAGCGGCAGGTGGTGGTGCTGGGGGCGGGCTACGACACAACCTACTTTCAGCTGGCGTCAGAAGGGATCTATGCAGACAAGTACATAGAGCTGGACTTCCGCCAGGCAAGGCCCCTGCGGCTGCCGCTGCCCTCCTGCGGCATCGCCCGTGCGCCGGCCTCCTGGCAGTCGGGCTGGCTGCCGCAGCACGCCAGCGGCTGGGGCGGCTGGGGCGCCGCTGTCGCCTGCAGCTGTGGGGTTGGGTGGTCGCTGTGCATGGCCCCACACGGCTTGTGTGTTGATACACGTGTTTACATGTGCAATGCCGAGGAGAAGCGCTTGAAGTGCGTACTGCCCTGCCTGCGGCTGTGCTGCCTGCAGGTCGCCCAGAAGAAGGCGGCAGCCATCCAGCAGCTGCCCGAGCTGCTGGCGTGCATTGGGGGCCCAGCCGCTGCCGCCAGCATCAGCCCAGGTCGGGGCCGTGCTGTCTAGCAGCCTGCGGGCCGCACTCGAGCACCCCGCTGAGCCTCCGCTGCGCAGCTTGCGATCCTGGCTGCCGCCTGACGCGTGCTGCTGCCTGCCTGTCTGCCTGCCTTGCCTGCCTGCCCGCTCTGGTACTGCAGAGGCGGGACGGGTGGTCACCGACAGGTACTGCCTGCTGCCCATCGACCTGCGGGAGCCGTCGCAGCTGGAAGCGGCGCTGGAGGAGGCGGGGCTGGACCCCGCAGCCCCCACCTATGTGCTGTCAGAGTGTGTGCTAGTCTACTTGCAGCCGCAGCACAGGTGACTGGCTGGTCGGCCGGCCGCTTTGCTTGCTCGCTTGGCGGTGGTGCACGCTGCCATGGGCGTCCCGAGGCGGCAGCAAAGGTCTGTGTCCCCCTTTGAGCGCAGCCGGCCAGGCCGGGCAGGCTGCCGACGGGCTGCCTGCCGCCGTGCTCGGCGGCACTTGCCTCGCCTCCCCCTGCGCAGCCGCGAGGTGGTACGGTGGCTGGCGGAGCACCTGGAGTGTGCTGCGATGGTGGTGTATGAGCAGGTGGGCGGCCTGCTCCCGTCAGCAGAGGCCGGGCTGCGGGCGGCGGCGTTGCGCCTTGAGCGCCGCTGCTGGCTCGGCGGAGGTGCTGCCAGCCTGCACGGTAACTGGAAGTGTGCTGCACTCAGCGAGCCGTTGAGGTCTGTCTGTGCCTCCCCCACTTCCCTGGCTTCCCTGTGCTTTCCTCTGGCCCCAGATCCAGCCCCACGATGCGTTCGGGCAGCAGATGCTGATCAATCTGGAGAGCAGGGGGTGCGCGCTGCTGGGCATAGAAGGTGCGCAGGCGGTGTTGGTGTGGCGGGCGTGGGGCTGGGCACTGGCGTGGTCGGCTGCTGTGGTGGCAGGCGGCAGTGGTGGGCGCGCCTCCTGCTGGCTGCCTGGTGCCCGGATGCTGCTGCACGCTCCCGGCTGCTGCTGCTGCCGCGCCGGTAGCCGCCGCACAGGCCGAGGCGTGCCTGCGCCGCTGCTGTGGACTCCCCGCAGCCACGCCGACGCTGGAGGCGCACCAGCAGCGCTTCACCGACTGTGGCTGGCACCGGGCGGAGGCCCACACAATGGATCACGTGTACAGGTGAGGGCGGGCGGCGCGGGCGGCGCGAAGGCTGCTGGTGTGTGGTGCATGGGCGCAGGGATGCGAGGGGAAGCGGCGCCTGCGGCCAGCGCTCCCGCTGGGCCCACCCACCCGCCGCTCGCCACTGTGGAGGTCCCCTTCTCCCGGTGCCTCGAGGCCCTCCCTCCCTCCGCCCGCACCTCACCCGCCTGGAGGCCCCTTGCCCCCTGCTGCCCCCCCCCCTCCCACTGCCGCCCTGCCCCCTCCTGCAGCCGGTGCATCGACCCTCAGGACAAGCGGCGCATCGAGCGGCTGGAGATCTTTGATGAGTTTGAGGAGTGGCACCTGATACAGGCGCGGCTTTAAGGGGCGAACAAAGAGAGGC